TCGTTACATAACCTACCTATTACGCGAATATTTTATTTTTAAGAATGGCCATTCTTTTAAGTTTAGGAGTAGATCCCGCTGGAAAATATTCATAGTCAAGTTGATTATAACAACATTCACCGTATGGATCACATTTTGATATGATGTAGTTATTCGAAAATCGAAAAAGTATTTAAGTTTTTTTGACTTCCTTAAAACAACATCAACCCAGCGCTTTTGACATTCGAAAAGTCTCACCTCTGAGACCTCTCACCGCCCTATTATAGAACATATGATACCGCGTCAGTATTTGCTCAAGTCCCAATAATATCAAACGAATTCTCATAACGCGATTATTTTTATATTATGGGTTTTGTTTAAACAGAACCAGTGCAGTTATGGATAGTTATGCCAACCCTAAGTTGAAGGACTTTTCCCACTTATACGTAAACCTAAAACAGGCCGTAGTAATACGTTTAGCGTTTCCAAACGGGTGCCCACGAACAGGAAATCTTGGGAATGCTGTGCTAAATGATAACGATTTAAAATTTAAAAACAAAATAATAGAAACCTTTATGAAGCAATAATAGCATCGTGGGGGGTCATTAACGTGTGGTAAGAGGAACACGTGTTCACAGAAAGCACACGGGAAAGAGGAAAAACTTGTAGGTGATTGATGAGGCGTTTATTTCTAAGCGTTTCAATTTCATGTAGGACGGTATCAATTTAAAAGGAATAATAGCAATATTATTGACAATTTCGTTTAAATCGTTATTGGTCTTCTGTTGTTGTACCGATTTAGACTTTCACACGGAATATAACGGCTAACACCAACACATCATTCGACAAATAAACGCACGGATTATATCATGACATCTACTCTTCAACCATCCCAAGGTAACTAGTTATACAATGGTGTTTCAGAAACGAGCACAAGTACAATAACAATGTAATAGCCAATTATCGAATATCAGTCTTTAATTATTGAGTAGGCAAACCGAAGGAAAACGCAATATTTTCTAATGTTATGCAACGATGTTAAAATAAAAATCGAATAACAGCGCAATGAGGGGCATCGACCACCACCACCACCTACGGGTAGTCGAAAATAACAGTAATAACTAATAATAACAAAAATATTTAACCGATAACATTGCCTTTAAAATAATAAAATTGGCAACAGATGATATAATACGAGAATGCTGCAAATTAAAGGATCAGTGAAAAAATTATAAAAAAAAATCAGTATAAACACGGATAATAATTATTATCAAAAATAAAATACGCGCGGAATGAAGTGACCCAGGGTGGAGCATGGGGTGGCGTCGTCGGGGCGCAACTTGTTGCCGTAACTCTGGCGCGTTACGGACGTTCTCGCATCGACGCTCGACAAAAACCGAAAATCCTCAAGAAAGGTTCAAAAATGGTTGGGGGGGGAAGGGTACGAAAAACACGTTGCTCTCATTCCAGTACCACCACATATTCGTGTCCACGCGTCTCCGTCAACTTGCTCCGCGCGCGCGACCGGTGTTGCGTGGGCGCGCACCTCTTGCGTCGCGCGGCCGCCGCTGATGGCCACTTGCGAGCGTTGCGCGCGTCAACGCGTTCCCACACCGGTCGCGGTGCAGTGGTGTGCGTGCGAAGTGGTCGTCGTGTGCCGTCGGTTTTTATTACGAACCGATTATTACACCACCGCCGCGGCGCCGCCGCGTTACTAGTGCTGCGGTTGCGGGCGAAGTAACGGCGGCGGTTACGGTTGGTCGTCCGCGGTGGGAGGGGGCACATGTCAATCACAAGCAACGGGATCGCTCGCACGCAATGCATTTCGCCCGTTCGCCGCTGCCGTTAACCGGTTACCTCGCGCGATCGTCGCGCACAATTATTATATTATACAAAATACGTTTCGCGAGCCGTCCGGCCTTGGACTTTTGACTTTGCCACTTTTTTTTTTCCTCGAATCGAAAACTTCTATTCTCCTCTGCGCTTCGAAGCATCGGTTTTTCGCACCACATTGGAAGATCGATTTAAAATGATTATAATATTATTGTATAATATAATAATTGAATCTATGATAATGAATATAATATTATTGTATGGGCAATAATAAGTACACCGCGGAGAAGTTTCCCAGAAATAGAAAAAACCCTCGATAAAAATATGTTCGACGAACACACACGGTGATAAAATTACTACAGCCGATAAGGAAATTACCTGTTATTAAATTTAAGTATAGATTGTTATTAAATATGCGTTGGCGCAAATGTGTTTATGAGCCACCTGCAAGGATGATATTATTATTGCGTGTTTCCTACGATAACAATGGACTAGCGGCGCGACGGTCTTATCGCTAAATAATAATATCGGAATCGAAGGACTGCCGTTAATAAAAACGACGTCGCTGCGCACGTAACCTACAATTTATTATTAATGTAAAGAGATTTATTAAAGCAAACTTACGTAAATTTTTGTTATTCGTTTGCAGTTTTAACCGTATTATACCATAATAGATATTGTATTATTTATCTCGTACGCGAATAATGCAATGCATTGTCGTTGTATATTGTATGCGGTCAGAGTCAAACCGAATTCAAATCCAAAAGAGAAAGGGATCGACGTTTGTCAGGTTTATGGTGTTTCTCGATTAGGAAATAATTTATTAATAAAGTACGAAATTTCCGAACGATACGCCATCTGGACGTGAACGTCCGAGTCGCGAGTGTAACTCTGACGCCCGCTCTCTTTCTCTCTCCTCTCGCGTAAACAACAACAGCAAATTCGCGTTCGGGTTTTCCAGTGATTGTAATGTTAAATGTTTATTTATTGCCATTATCATTTTCTCGAAACCAAACACTTTTCACAAATTTAACAAAAAAAAAATCATTAACGTTTTACTACTTTACTATTTAGCCGTCCAAGGGCAATATATAAAACGCACAGATAAACTGAATTTCACACTAGCCACACGTATTTATACGTAATAATAGTCACCACTACTTTGCCTATTCGATACTACCGTTAAACAATCACATTAAATTATTGTATTCCGATATAAATGTATAATAATATTATTATGTATTACGTACAAATCATACCAATCTCGGTGTTAATTTCTTGGTTGATTTTTTTTTTTTGTCGTAAGTTGTTATCTAAAAAAAAATATTCAAATTGCGCAAACAGTGCGCAACGACGACATCGAGAATTATAATTATTTTGTTTGCAGATAAGCTATTGTGAAAAATGTACTGACGAGCAATTTAATATCAAATACATATATATAGGTGTATTGTATGTTATTTAAAAAGAAAAAGAGATTGTTAAGCACCAGATGATAAAAATAAAATACAAATTTCCATTCGAACGAATATTACACACGATGCAGCAACGCGCGCATGTCCATTTGTTTTACTCTAAGATTGTGATTTCGTCCGAGCTCATAGTTTCCTTTCACCGATAAGTAACTGTACGGGGCTCAGTTACGGGAGCATTGTTATCCTAACTGGGCCATCTCCACGTGAAATACTTAACTGCATTTACTTCTCGTTTTTCTTTTTTTTTTTTTCATATAATTTGTTTAAAGTTTGCAGGACTACTAACCGAACGTTCAATGACATCGAATTGGTAACCAATGTTTAGAGGGCTGTACATCAAGAGATGTAAATGAAAATTATGTAGATGTGTTAGGAAAACCGGAGGAGTTTCCTTTTCCGATAAATATTGGTTTAATTTTACATCGGTTGTGATATGAATATTAAATCAATTTAATCTCGGAAAAACTGAGAATGTCGCGGTAACTGTATAACTTGCAAAATCGAATTTTCGCAATTTCAAATTATGAATTCAGGAAACTGGCCATGAAATTATACTGTTCATCGATGATTTCATAACAAACAAATAAAGTAGTTTCTTTCTGACGAAAAAAAAAATGTTAGTGCTTCAACAAATACTTCATACGTTTTGTTCTACTCATTAAAATCACTAAATATACAATTTTTTTCTTCACTGGATGTACATATTATGCATAAACCAGGAAAAAACTGAGAAATATTTACTTTAAATTTATACTCAAAATCAAAATCAATACATACAGTACGAAGATAAAATGCAACACTTGAAGAATATAACTAACCTGATTGATTTTACATAAAAAAGCATACATCAATAAAGTTGATAAACACAATCATATCATTTTTTTTTAAATTAGTTACATATTATTCAATGGTTACATTTTTCCTTGCCTAGTTCGTTGACTATCAATAATTCAATTTTATTTTTTTTCCTGAATATTAGGGTAATTGACCTCAAAAAAGAAATTCAACTAATTAAAAAAACCAATGTAAACTATTTTCAGTCAAAAATAATTTTTGCTTATATGTACTTGGAAAAATATTCTGAACTAATTTAATATTAATCTAAATTAAAATTTTAATTACAACAGTACTAAAAATCCCAATGGTTCTCTTACTATTTTTTGTATGCAAATATATATTGTTATCATGGATCAATAATTATTATTATGAATTGATAGGTACAACAGTGCAATTTAAGTTTAAATTAAATTCTATTTTATTTTAACACCGTATGATGAAAAATATAGATATACTATATTTTTAGATAAGAATTTTACCTGTACTTTTAGCACAACATCAATCATAAAGTCCCCAGAATATACCAACCTCAGCAATTATCAACCTTGAATTTGTTGATTATGAAACAATTATAAACAACCGGATGAACACTTCTGTATCCAGAAAATAATTATTATTTATTAAGTTTAGGTTACTAACCTAACCTAATCTACCTTAGGTAGCTAAAAAAAGCATGTGAAAAACATACTAATAGGAGGCTAGACCAAAATTAAGGATGTACCTCGTACCTAGATAAGTACTGTGCTGAACAAATATAAATAAAATTAACACAACATTTTAAAAATGACAGTTAAATAAATATTTAAGAAATAAGATAATGGAATTCACCTAAGCCTAACTAAAAATATTTAAGAAAATGTGTAGGTATAAACTTACCGGCATAGTATTGCCATTTTCCATTGGTTTTTTGTCATTCTTTTTAACATTTCTCTTGGTCTTTGTTTCCATGTATTTCTGTTTGAGCATTAATGTTTCTTGAACATTTTGCTGTTCTGCGAATGCGTTGTTATAGCGCGGAACGCAGTCTTGGTTGTGCCTCCTGTACCCTTCCATTCGTCTTTTTAATCTGTCAATAACTGCTTGTCGCTTATGGACAACGACATCGGCCATGCCGGGGGCGGCGGATTGTTGCTGCAACACACCACAGCCGCCCCCTAACAATGCACCTTGGTCCAATCCTTCAGGACCGCAATTCAGGTGGTAGCTCGCCAGTTTAGTAGAATGAATTTGATCAGCTACTCACATTTGCACTAGAACCCACAAAATCAAAATTGTAAGCAAATCAACTATATATTATAAATACCTAAAATTATTATTTTAAAAAAAACTTATGGAAAAATATTAAAATATATTTTCTATGACTTAATTATTTGATACTAAGATATATTTGTAGAATTTCAAATACTTAATAGTGATAAGAAAGTTGTGACAAGAAAGTTGTAAATAAATATTGATGGCTGGTGGTTATCTGTTATGGTGAACAATTTGTCGAAGAAACTAAGCAAGATTACAGACTATTCAACAGGTATCAACACTAAATAGTAAATAATAAACAGAAATGTAACAGAAAAAGTTAAATATACAAACACCAAATCAAGATCTTAGAAGGATGATGAGTAACATAAACAACAACTGATAACAATGTACCAGCAACTAGTTACTGCCTGGACAATTTATGATATTAAGTCTATATTTTACTAAATTTGAGCAATACGATAAGTGCGGTCAACTAATAATTGGGTGGAGTGAAAATATTTAAATTGACCGTTAAAAGGAACCAAAATACTGATACGCACTCGTCAAAACTAAAAGTGGTCCAGCGGACGGTCGTTGATGATTGCGTCCGTGTTCACGTCAGGTCGACGTACATTGTGATCGGTCTTGGATGGTTCAATGGTCGCAATGATTAATATAAAACCGATCACCGAGTGCCAAGCACACACTCAACACATACACTATCGTTACAGAGATCGAACTTAACCGATCTAAGTCGTATGTACAGGTTGTCGTCGGTATCGCCACCGGTAAACTGTCATTATTATTGTTGTATTACGATTGTTACGCAAAAATCGTTACGTCCACACGGTCGGTATACGCACCGGGATCAAAAAATTCGAATAAATACAAATCGCAGGACGTGTATTAGATCGAATTCGCGATGAAAATCAACAAATCGCTTGTGCGTGAGGAGGACGGCGGAGCAACATACGGTGTGCCGAATCGAGACGCGTCATACGACTGCCGCCATTGTTTTCAGTTAGGAAACGGACGGACCATGCCGCCGCCGCCGACGATCAACACATATATACACGTCAAGCAGTGTTACCACCCGTCGGCGGCGACCGTACGATACCGTATATCATATACACGGGTTGATATCCGCGCTCGTCGCGTACAATTTGCGTCGTACGAACGATGCATTGATACGACTACGTGATTGTAAATATTTTCGTATCACGGTATTTACGACAAAAACCCGAAAGACAATCGTCGGCATAAGCCCCGTCGCGACGTCCGCTTCGAACGCCGTCGTTGGAAAAAAAAAACCGTACGCGAAATTCGAACGGCGAACGATGTCGGTAATTTTTCGTCGCCGTTTTTATCGTAGCTCGTGGCGGCCGATAACGTTTGGAATCTCTTGTCGATGGTGGAGGCGGCGGTGGCGGTGCGGCGGCGGTGATGGTGAATGGTGAATGGTGGTGGTAGCGGTGGTGTCGTGTGTACTACGGCACTACGGCATCGGCGACGACGACGGGCAACCGGAAATTTCACCAAGTTCACCGCCACCGCCACCGAACGGTCCCAAGTCGATCGTGCGCGCGGTGCAAACGCACACACACACACACCGGCGTCGACGATGGTCGTTGGTGGGTAGGACGAATCATCGGCGGCGAAGGGGAAAACGGTTTTCGACGTTCTGCAGTGGAATATAATAATAATATAATATATAAAATAATATTACAAGAAAGTAAAAAAAAAAAACCGATCTGGTTTCGAGACCGAGTTTTTGTACGTAACATTATACGCGTACCTCCCAATAATAAATCTGAAAAAAATATATTTTATCGTTACCTGTATACATCATTAGGTATAAATTATAACGTTAAAAACGATACCGAACATGATTATATCGATATCATTTTTTACTGTTCTAGGTAGTATTTCGGTTTTATAGTACAACTAGGTAAAGATAATGATTTTATAGAAAACGGTACGTCACCGCCGATTGGTGGTCACTTGCTGGAAGTTGCTTCGCGGAAATCACCGTTTGCGTAAATAATATGCACCTATTACCTTTGGTTTATTTTTCCGAAGCAAAACGTTTTCCATTCATTTTCTGCAATTATTATTATTCGTTGTTCCCTCTATCGAAGCAAAAATATGCGTTCGACGCCTCGTATATGCGTAACCCGTTCTGAACGAAAGGGATTTGATCTAAGCGTAACGAAACGAGTGTTATGTGTTGTACCAAACTGTGTACACCTGAACGGACTTATGTCTATTATTACTCTTATTGCATAACTATTACCAGGTTAGGTACTTGTTTATATACCGGCGATTGACTCAACTATTTCAAATTGCACACATTACATATTGTTATATTATTCGCAAATTTACTTTAAACATTTGAGAAATTCATTTGAACGTTTCTCGATAGTTTACATTCTGTATATTTGTAATTTGTCATCGAACAAAATTAAATTGTACCTATCATTTTGTTATTTAAATGTTTTGAAACACAACTAAGGACAAGGCCGTATTATGTATACACAACCTTGGACTTATAAAATATCATAATTTTTTTTTATCATAATTTAAAATAAAATGCATATATGAATACAATTTTTACAGTAAAAATTGATTAAAAAATTGTATTCCTTATCGTAAGCGTACCTACCCATATATTTTCGGAGACTCCAATAGTACGATTATATAACTTTAAAATAATTGAATAATGTCTGTTAAATTTGAAAACAATTTATTAAACTTCATCAGCACACTTATTTATTCGAAATAAGTAATAATGTTATTAAAATTGTACGAAGAAATATTATATGATTTATATAGGTAGTAATATATAAATGATTACATGTTTTTTTTTTTTTTTTAATCTCACAATAATGAAAAAAATTGTGCAAATGACATTATATTGCACCAGAAAAAAAAAATAAAATACTAAGTAGGGTGATAATACTTACACAAATACTCCCCATACATGTCACTGTGTTATTCAATATAAAAAAAAGCAAGCTACGAATATTCAAATATTTTAAAGGGATCTCAACCATTTCGCGAAATATATTTCTTCATAATTAAAATAAAGGATCAACACGAAATTTTAAAGGTTAAAACTTCATTTTTAATATCATGCTCAATTGTTTAACTCAAATAATCAAGAAATACATTAAAACAGTTTTAATATACCCAATGGTACATATACGTACTGTAAAAAAATCTTTAATTTATAGATTTAAGGAAGTAATAAGACTGAATAATAATGTAAAATAATTAGGAATAAAGATATTATACAATTTAATAGGGAGCTTAGTGCAAAGCAAATATAATAAATAATAATAATATACCTAGGTACCTATATAATAAAATTGTTGTATTCATAATTGTTTTATTCAAATGGCATTAGCTAAATGAAAATTATAATTCAGCTTCAACAGCTGAACATTTCACGATTGACTTTATATGACGTAGGTATAATTTAATAAAAGCCAAATTACTGGAAATGGCAAACAAAATCCAAAAATTATAGTCATAGTAAAATTTACGACAAGACATAAGTTGAACCTATTTTATATTTTATATTAGTTTTGTAAACTGAAAGGGCTGTACATTGAGGTTTTATTTATTTTTATTTTTATCCTTATTATTAGTTAAAAATAGTGTAGCTCAACAAATATTTAATTAACGTTATTAATTAATATAATTTAATTATGTTCGTACATTTGCTAGATATTTATAAATTAAAAATGACAATCAAGTTCACTAATATCAGCAAAAAATTAATTAACCTTGGGTTACAACTCATAACAAAATTCCAAGTAAATGATTGTATAATTAAAAAAATATATGTTCATGTTGGTCACCTATATGGCGATATAACATGTAAATTATAACAAAAACCTCTGCCTATATTTATTGTTTTCACTTTAAGACGAAGTAATGTTAAATCAAAATTATATTTACTATTCATCTTTACAAGTTCTTTTATATAATTTTTAATACTCAATAATAGAAAATAAACTTCAATTATTGCTTTATATAATTAATTAAAGGTTCTTGGAACATGTGAAGACCTAAAAGAAAAATATTTCTGAAATTTCTCAGCCATAATTATTATAATAATTAAAAATCCAATCAAATTTATAATTTACCAAAACTAATTATAAAAAATATATAAAAATAATATAAGAACTGTTTTTGTATTCTCTGCATACTGCATATAAGTATAGGTAATAGGTAAGTTGTACAGAAATACAGGGGAAGTATTATTAGGAGACTAGTTACTCGGCGTCATCAATTTAAAATGTAAAAAAAGTCAAGTACAGAAGTTACAAACTATTAAATGGTCCTAGATTAAAAAAAAACTTTAATTCATGACTAAATTCATATATTTTGCTCATAATCATAATATATTATGCTCCTTATATTTACTTTAGTATATATTATAAGAGTGATAAATTGTATTAAAAATGTAAAACTTAAAAGCCAAGTTTAGGTACTGTTGATTGTTACATTTTTTTTTTTTTTTTTCCAAAACAGCATAAACTGTAATAAAATGCGTGCAGAGCAGTTTTTAATTCACTTTAGATTTGCTTATAATTGGTTGTTTATTAATATTTTATTACATAGGTTAGTATATAAGAAGACCCAAGTCTCAAACCTCGTAATATAATATAATATTATAATTAAGCACCTTTTAAAAATATGTATGTATGTGATGCTTAAAATATTAAAATTATAAGTTATAGGTTTGGGACTTACTACACAAAAATCTTTAAAACATGCAATCAAAATTACCGAAATATACTTGAAATTATAAAACTAAATTTTTTTTTATTTGAAAAAATCCCATAGTACATGCAAAAATATTGAATAATTTATAATTGATGAATTAATAATTGGCTTGCTTAACCTTATCTAACTATATGCATAATATGTATTGATTTATATGACTATTATTTTTTTATTTTAGTCATTTTTAAACAATCAAAATAAAACAAAGTATAGTTAAAAAAAAACCTTTTAATGGGTTTGCCATTCATCACGCACCGGACTCGGATACGAATAACGATCGCCAAGTTACACAAACAAGTATGGGCACTGATTTTTATGTCTTGGTATATAGTACCTATAGTAATATATAGACTTTGAATCTATATTTCTTAACATACTGCAAAAGCATCCGCGTACTTCACCGAATGCAGCTGACTGATGCTGGATCACATATTCACATAGCACATCAGGCTTCTATCAGACGGTGTAAGAAGTACCTCAAGAAGGAGGACGAAAGGATCTGGGAAGCCAAAGCACTCTCAGGGTCAATTGACCAACGTATCACCTACGAGTTTCTATAGAACGACAGGCGGAGATGCCTAGACGACTAGACTGGGAATCGAGTGCATCCAGATTTCGATATTTTAATTGGATTTGTAGGGAAATGGTCTTAAATCTTAGTCCTATCTGTAATTTTTATTGCACGCCACTCGTGGAAATGACGAAGCTACTCATACTTCAGTCATACCTACACTATACAGCAGGGGTCTTCAAACTACGGCCCGCGAACAAGTTTTAACCGGCCCTTGGTCCGCATAGGACGCATAGGTAAATATAGATAAAAAAAAATATTTCAAAAATGTATTTTTATTTAAGTATATTGTAAAGTAAACAATATTTTATACAAAAATATAAAGTAAACATATTATCATAAAATTAAAAATTATATGTGCTAATAAACTTTTGGCATTTTATTTTTTTTGTGGCCCTTGAATAAAAAAGTTTGTAGACCCCTGCTATACAGTATACACTATACAGCACATATAGGTGACCACCTAAGAAAAGCAGATTTTTTTTTATCACTCATCAGTTTATCACCATTGAGCAGTCAGCATTGAGTGTCTACAAACTGTTCTTAACGTTTGTAAACTAGTGATCGCCAACCACCCATATTGCTGTCTGTTCAAAATATAAAAACAACAGAAATTCGATTATATTATTATAGGTAAGTAAATTAATTTGTTTTGGGAAATATTTTTCCTAAGACGTTATATTTATACATTAATTAAACGACAATGCAATATATTTATAAATATAAAAAATTCACTAATTTACGAACACATTTTCAAATACTCATTTTTCATAAAATATAAAGAAAAATGCAAAGTCAAACTTTGTATTTAATTTTACCATCTCACATAACAAAAT